GGCGGGGGAAGCGGCGGGCCGGGAACGGCGCAGACGCGGCGCCTGCCGGGGAGCGGGCAGCGGCCTCGCCATGAACCCCAGGGGCCTGTTCCAGGACTTCAACCCGAGTAAGTTCCTCATCTACGCCTGCCTGCTGCTCTTCTCCGTGCTGCTGCCCCTCCGCCTGGACGGCGTCATCCAGTGGAGCTACTGGGCCGTGTTCGCCCCCATCTGGCTGTGGAAGCTCCTGGTCCTCGCGGGCGCCTCGGTGGGCGTGGGCGTCTGGGCGCGGAACCCGCGCTACCGCGCGGAGGGGGAAGCCTGCGTAGAGTTTAAGGCCATGCTGATCGCCGTGGGCATCCATCTGTTGCTGCTCATGTTCGAGGTCCTGGTTTGCGACAGAGTGGAGCGGGGGACCCACTTCTGGCTGCTGGTCTTCATGCCGCTCTTCTTCGTGTCCCCCGTGTCCGTGGCCGCCTGCGTGTGGGGCTTCCGACACGACCGGTCCCTGGAGCTGGAGATCCTGTGCTCCGTCAACATCCTGCAGTTCATCTTCATCGCCCTGAGGCTGGACCGGATCATCCACTGGCCGTGGCTGGTGGTGTTTGTGCCCCTCTGGATCCTCATGTCGTTCCTCTGCCTGGTGGTCCTGTATTACATCGTCTGGTCCCTCCTGTTTCTGCGCTCCCTAGATGTGGTTGCTGAGCAGCGAAGAACACATGTGACCATGGCCATCAGCTGGATAACGATCGTGGTGCCCCTGCTCACCTTCGAGGTTCTGCTGGTGCACAGGCTGGACGGCCACAACGCGTTCTCCTTCATCTCCATATTCATCCCCCTTTGGCTTTCGTTAATCACGTTGACGGCCACCACGTTTAGGCGGAAAGGGGGCAACCACTGGTGGTTTGGTATTCGCAGAGATTTCTGTCAGTTTCTGCTCGAAGTTTTCCCATTTTTAAGAGAATATGGGAACATTTCCTATGATCTACATCATGAAGATAGTGAAGATGCCGAAGAAACAGCGGCTCCAGAAGCGCCTAAAATCGCTCCGATGTTTGGCAAGAAGGCCAGGGTGGTGATAACCCAGAGCCCTGGAAAATATGTTCCCCCACCCCCCAAGTTAAGTATTGATATGCCAGATTAAACCCGTCTTCTGGGGCGTGTCCGCCAGTGGAAGAGAAACCGTATACACACAAAATCCACCTTCCATTGGCCTCTTTTGCTCATCCATGCCAAACCTGGAACTGAAAACAGGCTGCAAACATCATTTCATGCCTTGTTTGAGATTGATGCCTATCAGTGACTCATCAGTATTCACCAGAGATGTAGGAGGTTATTTGACTGTACAGCTGTGTGTGCGTGCAGTGTGCCTCCATATGTGAGGAGCTTGTTCTCTAGGCTGGTGTTGGCGAGCTAGCTGAGAGCAGCAAATAGAATTGTTTAGGTGGGTCCTCAAATGGAGTGACTACACAGCTGGGTTTTTTTTTAAGTGGTACTGTACCTATCAAAAGTATTGTTTTGAAAAGTATTTTTATACACTGCTAACGTAAAATTGTATTTCAGATTGTGCCTGTTGTCACAGTAGCAAATGTAAAGAATTCTCTTTCCCACCACTTGCATATAAGCCTCATAGTTGTTATTTTTAGTGTTCCTGCTGTTAGAATGGTTTTTCTTTGGGTTTTGCCGATACTGGTTTTTAATAGCCTAATAGATGAATTTTTCTCATGCAGTGAATCCATCCATATGTGATATTTATATGACTGTTTTAGCACTGTAACATATTATGTTGAATTCTAGTTCTGTGCAGTACGGTGTATTATGTTAAAGTATTTTTTTAAGTTTATATGTGAAGATACATGTCTACCGCAGATGTTGTTAAAGATTGCTTAAAACATGAATATGTACCTGGCATGGGGTCTTATTAAAATTCTAGGCATTTGAATATGGGGGTTGAAAGTCCCAAGGATCTTCATATTCAGGTGTTAGATGATTCCGTCTGCACAGCTTGGAGGTCTCTCTTGGAAGGAGCCACCATCCTTTGGGAACACGTGACATGCTCCAGTGTGGTACCAGAGCCTAAAGCGACACTTATTTAGCACTTTGAATTCATCTCTTCAGGAACAACCAAAAGAAGCAGGTGGTGTGTCCATTTCTAAGAATCTTAGAATATTAGTTGGCCATGATATAAAGTGGTGTTTGTACTTGTCTTTGGAAAGCTGGAGAGAGCGGCCTTAACCGGAAATGGTCAGCAGGATCAGGTACTGTTTTAAGGTCCAGACGTTTTGATCTGGCAGCGACAAGGAAGTAACAGTTCAGGTTATTTTTTAAATTTTGCTTTAGGTTCTGTGGTACCAGGGAATCAGAAGGGCAAAAACCAGATCCTGGGAGAGTAATGTTCTTCTGACTGAGGACAAATAAATACTTCCAAAAGAAGGTTAAAATTAAAAGTATTGATGTTATTACTGGGGAGAAGGCTGGAGGGAACCCATTTCTCTTACTAGCAACCTAGTAAAAATGATTTCAGCTGCGCTCCGTATGAATTAAGTAAACAATTTACCTGGTGAGAGGACACGCTAGCAGCAAAGCCACCCATGGGAACCTGGGTCCCTGGAAGGCTGAGGGTGCCGCAGCTCAGTTTACTCACGTAGAACTGCCCCGAGGTCACCACGTGCATACAGTCACCTTCCGCCAGCCGGCAGCCCTGAGCAGCAGTGGGTGTGACATTTCATGAGCAAGGATTCATTCATTTGCTTTCTCAGCAAATATTTGTTGAGGACCTACTCTGAGCCAGACATGGATGTGCAGATCCATCGGAAAGCAACTCGAATGTGGCCCCGGCCCGCACACACAAAGCACACAATTAAAATCGACGGGAAGGTGGTGCTCGTCATAGCAGCCGGCCTGGGGGAGGGGCCGGGCCCAGAGCAGGCTACGCTGAATGCCTGGGAGGGTGCTACTGGCCTCGGGGTGACCTCTGCCCGGAACTTCAGGCCCGCCTTTGTTTCCACCCCCAATGATACCTCAAAGGCCTTGGCTTACACTTGGGTAGGATATGGGAGCAAAGGAGGAGGTTGCTGAAGGAACTGAAGGGCAGGTTTGGGGGCAGCCGTGGGATCACCAGCCCCTCCTAGTTACAGTGTGAGGCCAGGGGCTTGCTGACACCTCCTAACCTGGCAGGGGGGGTCCCTCCCCACACTCACCCAGCCCACCTCCTCTCCTCCTACCCTCAGGTGGCCCGGTGTTGGAGAGCCACTGCTTGGATGCAGTGACAAGCTTGCTTATCCCACCAGGCCTCTTTCCTGCCTCAAGTCCACTAAGTAGAAACAGCGGGAGTCACAGCTTGTAGAAAGTTGTTTCATCTGTAAAAGTTAATACAGTCTCAGCTGTGCCTGGGGATTTACTTAATTGCTGCTGCAACTCGACTATCCACAGCATTTAGCATGGGTCAAATTCTGTAACTCTTTAGTTTCTCCTGTTAAGATGTTTAGCTTTTACTGCCAAACAACCTTAAAACTCTCAGCGGCCTACCAATTACAAATTCTCGCTCTGGGGCGTCTGGCACTTACACTCCGGGCCATGGCTGTGGTCCAGGTCTGTCCCACGAAGCATCCCGCATCCCTCCTGATTCTGTTCCGGGTCCCAGGGGCATGTCCTTTCTCAAGGCAGAAGCACAAGAGGCCAAGCCGATCCTGCAAGCACCCCTGTAGCCCCTGCTCTTATATGACAAGTGCACTGTTCTGTTGGCCCAAGCACAAGGCCAAGCCCAACCTCAGGGGGTTGCCAATTCAAGCCCAAGGAACAATGACACAGTCTGCACAGATGTTGCAAGATAGTTTTGAAGGCTGGAAAGAAATCACAAAATTTGTGGTAAAACATTTTCCCCATTTAAAAAACATTCTGTAAGTTTTAAAGTTCACTGTTTAATATTGTAATAACAATTAGAAGGGACTCTGGGGTGGGTGGGGAGGGGATCTGAGGTGAGAAGAGGAAGAGCCTGCATTCACAGCCCTCTGTATAAAGCGTGGAAGGTCATGGGGGCGCCGCCCGGGATGGGTTTATGACAGTGCTGGACTCCGAGGGTTTCCCTGGGGGCCCTGCAGGATGCTCTGGAAAGGTCCAGCCTGGCTCAGGGGGACCAGCCGGGTAGGAGGTGCTGGGAAACACGGAAGAAGCGGAGTCTAGACGGGCCTGGCGGCACAGCTGGTGAGGGACGAAGCAGAGCCTCCCGCCAGGCCTGAGCCTGACAGGACGCTGTCAGGGGCATCTGGGGAGCTTGCACGCTGGCAGGAAAGCCGGCACCAAGCTCAGCGGGCGCGTGGGGGCCGAGGGAAGTCGTGTTGCCAGAAACCCCAGCAAGTTTGCACCTCAGGGGCCACGTGGTGACGATGCTTCAGCTGGCCCCCACCACCAGCCACGAGACACTGCCACCAGTGTGGCCCCTGCTGCCATGAGGAATTCCTCAGGCGTCTCTGCCATGAGGTCAAGATTCAGGCACCAGGAGGGAGGTGTGATGGGCAAACCTCAGGTGTGCATTTGCCCCGCAGACCCCAGAGCTGAGGGGAAGTGAGCTGGTCCCCTCAGCGCTCGGAGAGGACCTGCCCAGAAGGGAGGGGTGTGCAGCTGCTGGGTGACCAAGGCCAATGACAAGAGCCGACGCGCGTCCTCACGAGCTCACGCTTCAAAATCACGGCTCCCGTCTGGCCGGACGCGGCTAGCCTCGCGGCCAAGCAGGGGCTCCGCCCTCCCCCAGGGAGGAGGCGACGACTCAGAGCTGCCCCATGGACGCCCTCGTCCTCCTCTTAATCCATGCCGCCTACTCCCCTCCTTTGCATGTTCTCCGTATATCCTAGAACGTGTGGATTCAAGTTACCACCACAGCAGGCCTCCAAGTGTGGTCCGAGGACCCCAGGGTCCACAAGCACCTCCCTCCCCACGACACCTCTGGGGGAAGCAGACCCTCCTCATTCTTCAGCCGAGACGATGCTCTGCAGCAGGTGAGACGCGGGCGCAGGTCCGAGACGCGGCCGCCTTCCACCAGGCCGGGCACTAAAGGTTTGCAAATGTGCAAGAACAATGCCACTCCTCTACTCACCACATTTCTTGTTATTTTTCATTAAAAAAAAAAGTTATCGTGTAATGGACTTATTGTTTTTAAAAGAAGTGACATTTTTTAAAGTCATTGGCTTTCCCGTGTACCATGGAAAATGCTGCTACGACTCACAAAAAAGCGCCTTGGGGTCCTCACCAATGTTTAAGAGTGTTGACCAGAAACTCTGAGAACCGCTGCCCTGTACTGTAGTGGGGGGGAAGAGAAAGGAAGGAAAATGAACATCGGGTGAAACGCGTTCAACTCTGCGTGCTGTGGCGGACGGGCACGGCTCATAGGGTGCGCCCTCACCTGCGACCCTCCACCACCCTGCCGTCCTCTGCAGGCACCTCAGGTGGTCCGGTTACGTAACCGGTGGGGTAGCTCCCACCACCATTCTGGGAGCGGCCCGAGCCCTTTGCTGGTCCTGCTGCTTTTTCATTTAATTTCACCTAAAACAATGAGGAGCCTGGCGGAGCGCCGGGGTTCTGGCCAGAAGCCCTGCTCCCTCTGTGGCAGCAACACTATTGTCCCAAGAGCCCCCCCAGGGCAGCTGCGTTGGCTGGGGGGGCAGTGACCCCGACCGCCGAGGGGAAGCAGGGGTGGACAGCGGGCCCCCCCGGCGCTCACGGGCCACCTTCTCTGTCTTCTCAGGATGTCCTGTGGTTAAATCGCTGCCTGCAGGGCCGGGGAGGGCAAGTGGGTTGCGACACCTCCCTCCACCCAGTGGCTCAGGGCTCCCCTGCCGCCCCCAGCCTCCACCCTGTGTCCAGACACCTTGTGCAGAATCTGGGGCCACGTGGTCCATCGCACCTCTCGTCCCCCCCAACCCCTGCTGGTCCCCTCACAGCCGGGTCTCAGGGGCTGCCCCCCCCCCCC